CTGTTTATGTTCCTGTGGTGAATGTAGGGGTGTGTACAGTCGCACTAAGACCCCGTTGTACTCTGGGTCTTTTGTCTCCTGTAAAAGTGGTCAGTTTACCTTCAGAGTTGCAGGAAGTTCCTTCTGCACAGGAGCAAGTCGTGGCTGCAGTCAGGTCCCATACTGCTGAGACTGGTTCGGTTGGAGAGAAGATAACATCACTTAATCTCTCTATGCTGGACAGTGAAGAGCAGCATAAGGTGAGAACATTGTTGCTAAAGTATGAGTCTGTGTTCTCTGCTTTTGATGGCGACCTTGGTGTTACTAATTTAATCGAGCATAGCATTCCATTGTTAGACAATGATCCTGTGCGGCAGAGGTATCGACGTATCCCTCCATCTGAATATGAGGCAGTYAAGTCTCATATTAACCAGCTGCTGGCAACCCAGGTTATCAGAGAGAGCAGTAGCCCTTATGCATCACCAATTGTCCTGGTCCGAAAGAAGGACGGCAGTCTTCGCCTATGTGTGGACTACAGACAACTCAATAAAAAGACCAGGAAAGATGCTTTTCCACTGCCCCGAATAGAGGAAATTGTATTTAAAAAAATAAAGTGTATGAATGAAAACAGGGTGTGTCACAAGTACCATTGTGTCAGGGAAGTTTTCCTATTTAATTTTGAAACAATATATATATATATATATCAATTAATTATTTTTCATCATATATTTTTTGCTGTTTTTTTCTGGSTGAAACATTATGATGAAACACTTTGGAGCAAATATACACAGTATCAGTCCAAAACTGGAGGCCAGGATGGCAAATATCTCCACAGCCACAGTAAATTTTCCAGGAGAGCTGACATATGCTGGGATGAAGGTGATCCACACTGCACAGAATATAAGCATGCTGAAGGTTATCAGCTTGGCTTCATTAAAATTATCAGGTAGTTTCCGAGCTAGAACAGCTAACACAAAGCAAAAAACAGCCAGCAGGCCAATGTAGCCRAGCACAGCCCAGAAGCCAACAGCAGAGCCTAATGCACATTCCAGGATGATCTTCTCCTTGGATGTGCTCAGGTTTTTCATTGGGAAGGGAGGGCTGAGCAACAACCAAACAGTACAAATTAAAACTTGAATAAATGTGAAAAACACTACAGTCATTCTTTGTTGTGGAGGCCCAAACCATTTCATGACATTACTACCTGGAAGTGCCGCTTTAAAGGCCATTAAAACCACTATAGTTTTACCAAGAACACAGGAGATACAGAGAACAAAGGTGATACCAAATGCTGTGTGTCTCAGCATGCAGGACCACTCAGAGGGAGCTCCAATGAAAGTTAATGAACATAAGAAACACAGAGTCAGAGAGAAGAGCAGCAGGAAGCTCAGCTCAGAGTTGTTGGCTCTGACAATTGGAGTTGTTCTGTGACGAAAGAAAATAACTGCTGTTATGATGGCCAGACAGGCTCCAAAAATAGAGAATGCAGCCAGGATGATTGCCAGGACTTCATCAAAAGACAGAAACTCAACAGGTTTGGGGAAACAAGCATGACTCCCCACATTAGGCCAAAATTCAATGGGACATTGGAAGCAATCTGGAGAATCTAAAAAATAAAAAAAATGATAATAAAATAATCCAAATTACAAACAGGTAACTATATAAAAACTGGAAGTATGCATAACTCATTTGATGTTACCGGTCATATTATTGATCTCTCCTTCAGGACAAGGTATACAGTCATAGCAGCAGATGGGTTTTCCTTTCTGCAAAACTTTACGGGTTCCTGGAGGACAACTTTTAGAGCACACTGAAACTGGTACCTGTCACAACAACATATTTATTATTAGACTAACTATTATTAATAAATATATAGTACTTATTTACTAAGATAATCTACATTACTTTAGTGCCACCTTCCACCCAGGTTATATCCCTGCTGATATGAAACTCTTGGCCTTTTGGCAGTGATGCATCATAATATCCTATGGTTACCAGTTCAACAACTCCATTTTCACTTTTTTGCCAGTTGACCAGCTCATAAAAAGCCACAGGATCACCATTAGCATCAAATGACACAGGATAACCATTTTGCGAAAAGTTGACTCTCTTTAGTTCAGTAAAAAGCTGTAAGAATAATAGAAAATATAATAAAATAGAATTCTAGAAAATGAAATTATGGTAAATAATATGTAATTTATGTATATACAGTATGTATCAAAACTAACTCACACATTTTAACCAAATGGCTCACCTGTTCCAAAGCCAAACTTGTATGATTTTTATTTGAATTTTTTTGTCCCTGAAACACTGCATTGTGAATGGCATGAGCTATTGCATAAACAGCCTTGTACGCCATGTTGGTAATTCTTAATTGGGATGTGTCGGTGTACGGGTTTTTTAGCAGTTTTATGTTTTCTGTTCCATTACAAACATTCTTGTCATGAACACCTAAAACACACAATAGAGGCAAACATTTATGTAGTCAATACAAACTTAAAATGACAGTGAACATATACTGTACTTAGAACTATTAGTTCAAAGCTTAAATCCCCAGTGTATAGCAAGAAATTAGGTTGAAGCATTTCTGAACCTACAACTGGAAACAATAAAACAAATGTTCAATCCAAAAAAGGCTGTACAATCATTTTCCACTGATTTTTGCTTTTCGGTAAATGCAAATAAATAGAATTGGGTGGCATTGCATAAAACATCATATAGAGCAGGCCTCATTTAAAACAAAAAACTAACAAATACTATAAATACACAACAGCCTTGTATGAGGACATGTCATAATTTGCCAAAATAAATAAAAAGAAAACTCACTTTCTGTTAGTTTGCAGTCAAATGCATCCTCCCAGAATTCAGTTAGCACTGAGGAGGCAGCTACTTCTGTGGGAGAGAGATCCAACAAAAAATCTCTTAGGCCTGGAATGACAGACTGTTGAATGCCAACTCCGATGGCCCCTGCACAAAAACTGAATCTCAACAAATGTGAGTCAGTGATCCAGGCCTCACTTCCTATCCACTGCCGAGGAGGTGGAGGCTCCAGAGCCAGCTCTTCTAACAAGATCTTCATGTCTCCTGGTGCCGCAAAAGCCACAACAACCATTGCTGTTGACCTGCACGAATTATAATTTCAGTATGACACATAATTTTTCCATTCATGTTTTTTTTCTCTCTCACAATACAACAATATTTTTGTCTAATATATGTTCTATCAGAGGTTTAACAAAAAAATATGCTATTTTGCTTTGCAAAGGTTCCACAAAATTTTAATGCATACAATCAAAGAGATGTATCTGTGCTTTGATTCAATGTGTTAAAATATGTAAAAATATGACAAAAATCAGTTTCACATATTGCATTACAATATTATATTTGTAGACAAAGTCTGAGGTCTGAAGTACACTATTTTCACATCAGCACAAAATTCACATGCATATTTAAAAAGGCAAAAACCTGCGGATAACATCAGCCACTCTCTGGACCTTGCTATGTGAGTTGGTCCGATAGAAGGATT